ATTTGAATACGACCACAACGGATGAGTCGACATCCTCCATTCACCCTTCTTCGACGTTGGATTCGACTTCGACGACACCCCCAAAGAGTTCTTGGACCGGATCTTACCAACCCTCGTGGACTCCATCGACGATCATTTCTCCGTCTACACGTGGATCATCGAAAGCCGTCCACCCGCTCCTCCGAACCCGGCCTCCGTCCCGGTGACAAGTCCTCTCAAGATCACTTGTCTACTAGTGGCATCGCTAAGTCTGCTCACGGTTCTATTCCGCTAGCCTCCACTTTAAATTGAGTGACGGATCCTAAGGTGAAGAATCTAAATCTTAAATTTGGGGCTTTGTTATTCTTAGCTATTCGCATTACTTGAAGTTTTACTGTTATTTTGAAAAGCCTTCTAATTTCTAAATGTGATTTCTTGTTGTTACTTAATCATTCGTCTTCTAATTCTTGAACTTCACTTGATTAAGCATAGCGTTTTGGTACCAAGTTATGATTCAATATTTCTATTAATTTTAAGTGCAATTCTCATTTCATCGCATGATTGATTCACATCAAATTCACTCCTGATGTGGGTGAGGTACTTAATGATTTTTGTTTGGTTTTTCATTAAATTTCTTACATTTTAACTCGAGTCATTTGCTGATGGAGAAATATTCATTCTCATCTCTATGCTCACAAAAGCTTCAACGTAGCTACAAGATGTGGGGATGCATTATGTTATTTCCATGAATACAAAAAATGTGACATAAATTTTCTAATAATTATATTTTTTTATTAAAATTAAATTTTAAGTTTTACATACTTGACCCTACTTTACTTAAACTCAGGTTTATGTAATTTGGGAATCAAAGAGCAATTCGCTTCTGAAATCGGATAGGCAATTAAGGATTTTTCTTAATTTTTCATTTAATTTCTTACATTTTAACTCAAGTCATTTGCTGATGGAGAAATGTTCATGTCCATCTCTGCTCATAAAAGTTTTTGCAAAGCCAAAAGATGTGGGGGATGCATTACGCTAACTATTAGTAATTTATTAAAAATTTTGATCGCGCTTTCACATCACCCTGATAAAAAGGTAGGCAACATGAGATGGGCTAACTCAGCACATCATGAAAGTCATATATGAAAGAAAAATAGAGTCGGGCCATTAACTCAACTCTACAAAAAGGTGGAGTTCCCGCTCCTATAAACTAATGTCCATTGACACAGAAGGAAGGAGACTCTAAGTAAAAAAAGGGCACTTTTTATGCCTCAGATATTGATTGAAAATTTTAGCAAGGCGTCATCATCTGTTAGTCTCTTTTTTTTCTCAACCCTTCCTATAATATTTAATAGGGGATGATGCGTCCTCCCTTAAGCTGATAAAGAATGTGAAACTAAATGTGTAAGGTGGGAGGGTAGCAGGTAGCTAGAATTGGGCAAATTATTGGGTCAGGTGACCGGAGGCGAAAAATAAGTTCGGACATCTAATAAAAATTTGCCGCGTCACCTGCGCTTTGACTTGCGCTTTAGTTGCGCTTTACCTGCGCTTTACCTGCGCTTTACTTACGCTTTTTGACTTGCGCTTTAGTTGAGCTTTACTTGTTCTTTACCTGCGTTTTACCTGCGCTTTACTTGCGCTTTACCTGTGCTTAATTTAAAATAATATTTTATTAATATCCGAACCTATCTCCGCGTCCGGTCACCTGACCCAATAATTTGCCCTAGAATTGAGGCTTATCAGATGACAGATCAAAAGGATGTTTTATTGATAGTATGGAAGAGAGTTCAATCATTCAAATGCGGGACATTAAGTCATCTACTAGGCTTTGGGTAAATTTTGTCAGTTGATTCGGGTTCTAGGATCAATTGGGTTTATTTTGGTTTTCAATCAGAAGCTCGCCATAAATACCAACTACATTGCCTTGATGTAAAGACAGGGTTTGACGCTAGCATCATTCCAACTTTATCTAAACCAAATTGACTAATTTGATTGAGTTGATCGAGCCTTCAACAAGTTTAATTAGGGTTGACTAGGTGAAAACATCGGACTAAGGCATAGGAAATGATGTATGATATGTATTGAGAATTTTCTATCATCTATTACCCTCGCAAAATCAATGTGGACCCTCCAATGAGGACAATAGTACGTTGGACAAGCTCTATCACTACAAATCATACATGAAAATAGTTATAAGTCAACAATATGATGGTTTTGGTTTTAAGTCATAACAACAGACTTTTGAAGAAGCTTGAACGCTACATAACTTGTTAATTAATTAAAAATAACTTAAAAGGAAAGCATATAAAACAAACCTCAACTGAGCCAACATGCTGTGAGAATCCATTAGCAATTGCTGGATTTATGGTGTATTTTGCTATGAAGCGCTTTATACGGAAGTTATCATTATCAGAACCAATTGGCTCAATTGATCTTCCTCTTTGTAGTTTCATTTTATGAGCAGTCTGCCATGTCCGAATAATCACCTGAAAATATTAATTTGCCCAAATAAAGCTTAAGTATAGAAAAATGGTTATAAGTGCCATTTAGGTAGCTATCACACTTTCAAATTCGAGAGCTAAAAAAGCATTTGGTCATTCACTCATGTTGGCTTGATATGCTGGAACATTGTTTTGTGCGTATTTAAGATGAGCAAATCAACCTTATGATATGGATAAGAACTGGAATTATTTGGCATAAGCACATCCAGTTTCATGCATGACTTCTTTACTCAATGCAACTGCTAATAGTAACGTACCACTGGATATATGCAACTTGAGGAATAGCATATTTGGAAGGTTCTACTGCTTACTTCCGATGGCTGTCATCAATCTAGAAGAAGGTACACAGTGTAGATTCCGGAAAGTTGAAGTATAGCATATCAAGGAAACTCTTTCAAAGAGTGTACTTCAACTTTGCTTACTGCTCATTAATGCAAAGGCAAACAAAGATACTTATAAAGAAATAACAGTCATTCTTGGATGCAATCGTTAAATATTCAACTGTCCAACATCCTCAAATGTGGAGTGGTGCTCACATATTTGCTTTTGGTCATTCACTCATGTTTTCCTAGAGTTTATGTTCAAAGCATATTTCTCTACCATCACCTTGTACTCTATAAGGCTTGAGAGGAAATTCATGATTAAACATTACATACAACTGCAGTTCAAGCAATCAATAAACATTCATACCACGACAAAAATGATGAGGAGCAACATAAGGGTTGCACATAATAATTATGCCTGAGTGAAACGCCAGAATTCATAAATAAGAACTAGCAAGTTACTTGGCCAATCTTCAGAGGACCTTATAAACAAAATGAAGAGGAAGAAGTGAAGAACCTAAAAGTTTAAAAGTTGAAACAAAGGCTTAAACAATGATGTAGGACTATGTATGCTTTCAATGATTGATAAGAGAATTTGCACGCTTTCAAGTAAGAGCAATAAGAATTCAAACGTTTAGCCACTTAACGAAAACAGAAAACAAGAGAGGGGTGCATTAGCTTAGGCCAAGTCACACAATAATAGTTAGGATCACAAAACAATTTGAAATTTCAACATAAGCAAACATAGAAGGTTTTCAATAACATCCCTAGATTAACAATGAGATTAGATGGATAGAAAAACCCATCACTTATTCCCTACGTTTACTAAGCTTTGGCAGATGGCTTTGCACGATTCCTTATGCTTGAGTCACAACCTACAATCAAAGAAGATTTAGGAAGGAATTTGAAGAGGGCGAAAGAGTTCACCCTTGTCTTGGCATGACGATGATTTTCCACTGAACGGTGGAAAGCTGTTCTTCAATGCCTTTCGAAAGAGTGAATATGATTCGCTACAAATATTCATCGACGGAATTATCTACCTGCAGATTAATGTAGAAGAAAGGTAATCCGAGGATGTCGACGAGGCCTTGTTCGTTGTAGACAAAGCCGGAGTCGAGTTCAGGATCGACCATGCATAGATTACGTAGCATTGAAGCCTTGTTGAAGACGTCATTTGTTGTCCTTGTGGATTCCCCTTGAGAGAAAGAAGTTTCTCCAAGGAATCCAAGTAAGGGAAGGGGAGAGAGGGTGGCCGGCCAAGGTAGCGAGCTTGGGAAAGTTTAGGTTAAGATTTTAGAAATCTTAAGGGTAGGGGAAGGCTGGCTAGGTTAGAGAGGGAGGTGGAGGAATTAGAGTTCAGATTTTAAAGGAGGGAGGTTGGAGGAAAATTAGGAAATTGTTTCCCTAATTAATCCTTTAAATTTGGAAAGAATTTAAAAGGGAATTGGAGAGAGAGAGGGGGCGGGTAAGAGAGAGAGAGAGGGTTTGAATTCTTTCCATGTAAGAGAGTTAACTTTGGAAAGCAATTAAGTGGGAACAAGGAAGGGGGGCCGGCAGCATCCAGAGGGGGAGAGGGGTTTGGGGAAAGAAATCAAACCTACTTGATTTGGCATATTAAATTAGGAAGGATGGATCTCATTCCAATCTAATTTAATATTTAAATAGGATTGATTTTGGAAACTTTCCTAAAATAGAACTCTAATTTTGGAAAGATTTCAAAATTCAAATTTGACTGAATAAATGGAATCAATGCTTTCCAAAGAAGGTTTGATGGAAAAGGAAATTAATAAAGAGGGTTTGAATTTTGGAGGCAAAGGGGAATTGGGAAGGGATGGCCGACTGCTAGAACTAGGGCTAGGGTTAGGGTTAGGTGGAGGTGGGGGAATTAAGTGGATCAACCAATCAAGGGGTGAACCACCTTGGATGGCTGGCGGCTAGATGGGATGGGGGAAGGGTATTGGCCGGAGGTGGGCTTTGTTTTGGAGTGGAGGTAGGCGGTTGTGGAGTTGGGAAACCCTAGGACAACGGCTAGGGGAAAAGGGGAGGGAGGAAAAAAGGATAGGGAATAAAGAGAACCACAAACCTGGACTCTTCCAAGGTTGGTGGGTGATCCACTTCCCTCTCTTAGGGTTTTCTCCCCAAAAAATCTCAAACTCTCACAAGAACTCAATTAACAGAAATTTGATTATAATTCATTCATTGACTTCAAAAGAAACATAAGGGGCCTATATATAACCTCATACATTGAAAGGGAACTAAAAGACGACATTGCCCCTAGGGCTTACATATGACAAAAGCTTTAAGGGTAAAACGG